GATGATGATGATGATGATGATGATGATGATGATGATGATGATGATGATGATGATGATGATGACGGAGGAGCTCAGTTCGGTTTTAAAAAGTTTGGATGTTGCTGATGCGATCCGCGGAACTCCCAATTTGCCTGGTTTGAGACACAACTAGGTATGGCTAGATACATGTGAAAGGAAGAAGACCTTCGCTACGGAGTTATTTATTAGAAAATGTCAACTGAACAGGGGAGCAAAACGGTGGTTTGGTGTTTGTACATTCAGTAGTGGTGCTGCTATCACAGACGAACCTTCGATAACTACTAGTGGAAGGAGGAAGGCCTTCGCTGTGGAGTTATTTATTAGAAAATGCCAACTGACGGGTTACAGACCATTGGACAGGGAAGCAAAACCCTCATATGCATCTATAAAAAATGAATAAAAACTGAATATCCATCTTCTCTTTGAACGCGTCTTTCTGAACTTTCCTGGATACTCACTAGCTCTTGCTCAAATCCAAGCAAATGCTACAAAGCGACTTCACATATTCCGGAATAGATCCCACTTTTAAAAAAACGCGAAGCGGATTTACGAGAAAACATACTACTCGCATGCCACTCCCATCAGCAGTGCCGCCATTTCACATGCGTGGGTTGCGAATAGCCTGAGCCGATGAGTTGTCCGGCGCATACATTGTACATTCCACACCTTTACTGCCCTCTGCCTCACCTGACAGTTGTAACCTCTCAGTATTTCACACCACTCATCTCAGAACTGTCTTCTTCTCCTACCTCCGGTCTTAGTTTCTCTGGTTTGAATGAGGTGAGTTGTATTCATTCAGGTTCACAAACAACCTTACACGAAATGACATAAGATATCCTGTTTTGAGCTCTATTGACTTGATGCCGCAGGCAGATCTTAAAACGAGCATCAGCCATTCTGTATCTCAGCACAGAAGTAATATCCTTTTGACAAACCGAACGATCTGTGAGTTGAACTCACTAAGCATTTTCGTGGTATTCCTCCTTCTACGAGACTAGTTCCTGGAATGTGCGAAATGCCCCCGAACAAGGTTGGTCATCCTTACTCTACATGGTCGATCGATTGATCAGCTTACCTACCATAAAATTTGATTTATGATAAACTGTTGATTGACATTATGAGTAGTATTGCTGATTCACTGCTTGTTCAGGTAACCATAATCGCTAAAGAAATTCCCTAATCCTGCCAAACAGTCAAACTTGGAACGCGCAGTGACAAACCGTGCAGACCGGTGGCATCTCATGAATACAACTGACATTCCGCACACTTCGAAGAAGTTAGACAGCATATAGGTGACAAGAACAGCAAATGTGAAGGATTGACA